ATGATTTAAAAAATAAATATCAAGACTATTCTTTTGACTTTTTGAACATACCTTTTGGCTTTTTGACAATAAACCACATGATATAGAAAATAAATATCAAGTTTATCCTTAACTTTTTAAACATACCATTCATTATTTTTCCTTCCCAAATATATGGTGCCAATATAAACTAATCACCATACTGAAACTATCCAATGAAAGAAAAAATTTGGTGCCCGCTAAAATAAACTATTCGAGTGTTGAAAAGAAACTAATCTCCAGATGTTGTCCCATACTTTTGTTTTTATCCTGAAACTGGTTGTCGAAAATACACTAATCGCCAAAAGAAACAATCCTACGCCGCCGCATCGCACATGTATCCTACAAGTATATATATATATATATATATATATATATATATATATATATATATATATATAATTGTTTTTTAGTACTTAACATATATGTTTCTACGTGTCAATGAATTTTACAAACCCTGAGATAAATGTAAAGATCTGAGTTAGAACAAGCAAGCAAATGCACATTTATAGTTATACAAATTATTTATTAAACACAAAATTAAAACATGAAGAACGATGGCGATGCGAAGGTATGGCACTAGAGGAAGCAAACTTTTGGTTACTAACTATTTGGATAAAATGAATATAATAGTAATAATCAATGATTACTAATTCCATGGATACATGAAACGGCCATTGTTATCCCAGAATGTTCCATTGTCATAAGAAAAATAAAAACCACTAGGAGTAATCGACCAATAACATCTATTCATCTTAAACAAATTTGTACCACAAAACTCTCTAATATGCAAGTCAAAAACATTGAATGATGCATGCTTTAAACCACTTGTGTTTGGAATCCATGCAAACCAACAATTATATTTATTATCCGAGAGAAGATTTTCTCGAAATTTCCAAGTAACAATTTCCCCAGGATGGAGTATAGTTTGTCCTGGGGCATTACACTGATACATAATGTCATCCTCAATATTTTGATTGCTTATATAAATTCTATATGGTTCAAGCCATTTGCTTGTTGGAGGAGTTTTGATTGTTAAACCTTTAGCAAATATCGCCAAATGTAACAGAAGATAGAGAAAAAATGAATATTTTTTTGTGAAACACATGGTTTAAGTTCATGTTGATATCCCACATTTTACACATATAAATAGGGGATTAAAACTAATTATGTGAGGATGTTAATATCAAATTCTACTTTAAAAAGTAAAATAATACATTTTATTAACGAATAAATTAGATTCTTAAAAAAATTTAATAAGTTCCACAATGGAAAATAATTAATTTTGCTCTTATCAATGCCATCAAAACAAAAGTTCCCTTCTAGACATTTAATATTTCCTTAAAGTGTGGCATAATATATTGTTACAAATGATAGCATTTAATTTAATGTAGTTATATTAGAGTTAAAAATAATATATTTGTCATAAATAACAACATTTAATGCCCATAATATAGAATAGTTTTTGTATTTATTGTAATTAGATTAGAGTTTTTTATTTGTTATATTAGAATCTTTTTTAAATGAGAAATCTAATGTACTCTTAATGTAACATATATAGTAGATGATACTTAAATAATCAATCTTAAGGATGTAGTATAATACATGAAATCACTAAGATTTATATCAATTAAAAAAACATTATTGAAAAGCTATAACATTATAATTTAGTTTATGATTAATACTACGCAACACATACATAATACACATGCTACAATTTTAAAGTTATAATTCTAACAAAAATGTTGTTGATATTGATTATGTCATTGATATTAACTATTAAAAGAATAATTATGACATTAAGGTGATATATAAAAATAAAAAAACTTTAAATAATATTATTCAATGAATTTTATTTGTGTCTGATATATTATTAAAATTAAACATAATTTTGGTTCTAATGTTACTTTAAATAATATTATGAATAACTACTTCTAAAATTAATTATTTTACCATATTTATTAATCAAGTTTTGTACCATCAAAAAAGAAAGAAAAAACATCATAAATGGTTCCTGTGGATTCCTAAAATCTGAAGTTTAGTCCCCGTGGTTTAAAAATGTTATAGATGGTCCCTATGCTTTCAAAACTTTTGACGATTGGTCCTTATTGCTAACTCCGTTAACTGAAGGGCATTTTCGTCATTTCACTACCACAGGGACCATTTATGATGTTTTCACTTATTATTATTATTTTTAAAAAGAGAATAATATGCAGATGGTCCTCTCTCTCTCTCTCTCTCTCTCTCTCTCTCAAAGCAATGTAATGTAATATAATGAAATTTAAGTTTCTTTTGCTGTCTAACACAAAGTAAACCCAAATCTTTGACTCGGCTTTTTCAGCAAATTTGTTTGTTGGCCAATAAATGTTTACTTGGAAGTTGAACTATCCAAACTCTTGGCAAGATAAATCGGTATTATTGTTGCCATTAAAGTTGCTGGTTTCCATGAATCAGTCTCAAAGTTTTCAATAAAATGGAGAAGCATACTAATTGGATACAAATTGAATCAGACTTAGCAAGAAGTTTGGAAGATGATCGTTAGGATTGTTGACGAACTATAGCTCTACCTGTTCATTCTCTACTTTGAAGGATATATGCAGTCGATCATTTGAGTTCATCGACAACATCACTCATCTGCCCTCCTATATACTTGTTTCTTTTGTTTACTAAATTGAATATTTGAAGACAAGGATGGATCCAACACATGTGCATAAAACAGATAAAAAGTAGGGAAACGAGTCTTGCACAACATAAGATAAAAGAAGGGAAATGAGTGTTGCACAACATATGTTCGATGAAATGCCTGAAAGAAAAATCTCATCGAAATCATACCCTCAAACATCACCTAATATACAAAAGATCATGTGCTATCTGATCATAACTTGGACTTGAATTCAATCATTGCAATACCCAGAAAATCAAGAAGTCGAGTACATCAAGACCAATTAGTTGGCAGGGGAGATCTATGTCTCATTTTCAAACCAGAAATAGATGATGATGATGATGATGATAATAATATAGAAAAGACATATAAATACAAGCTTGCATATATGTGTCTTTTGATCATCGACTCGACTCTCCAAATCTTCTAAAATCATCTCAAAACAGCTTAAATCATGCTCTAATCTCCTTTGTTCCTCCACATCGCTTGACCCACCTTCTTCATACTCATCGTCATTTCTTGGAGACGAGGGAGAAAGACAAAGGTGGGTGGGTTGGTTTACTGGAGAGAGAGAGAGAGAGAGAGAGAGAGAGAGAGAGAGAGAGAGAGAGAGAGAGAGAGAGAGAGAGAGAGAGAGAGAGAGAGAGAGAGAGAGAGAGAGAGAGCGAGAGAGAGAGAGAGGACCCAACTACATATTATTCCATTTTTTTCTTTAAAAAAAACAATTGAAAACATCATAAATGGTCCCTGTGGTATTGAAATGACGAAAATGCCCTTTAGTTAACGGACAAAAGTTAACGGAGTTAGCAATAAGGACCAATCGTCAAAAGTTTTGAAAGCATAGGGACCATCTGTGACGTTTTTAAACAACGGGGACTAAACTTCAGATTTTGGGAATCCACAGGGACCATTTATGATGTTTTTTCAAAAAGAAATTAAATGTAATTCAACATTCAGTGTTAACTAATTGTAAAACACATGTATTATATGAGTTAATTTAAATAAAATGAGTTAAATATAAATGTCAGAATATTTAGAACTTTGAATTTATAAGAAAATAAAAAAATAATGATTTATTATAATGTAAATGTTTTGTATCTTTTAAATTTAAACAATAATTTAAATAAAGAAAAGAAACTAATGATCTTTAATCTTGGAAATTTTGAAATTATAATGCAAGTTTATTAATGAAATAATATTAATTTATTGCTATATTTATTGCAATTATCACATTAAATTATTATGTAGAATTTAATAAAATAGAAAAACTCATAAAACGATATTTGAAAAAATTCATAAAAACCACAAAATGACATTTAGCAAATTGAATGTGAATGTGACAAGTGACAAAAAAATCTTCATTTATTAGAGATGATTACAATTGTAATGTATAATTTTAAAATTACTTAAATATTAACAATTGGTTTTAATCTTAAGTTATTTAATTTATATTTTTATGATACAAGTATTTTTTTTATTATTATTCTTATATATATAAATTTGGTGTTCCTTTCGAGAAATTCTTTGTTCCTATTGGTCCCTTATTATTATTATTATTATTATTATCGTTATCGTTATCATTATTGTTATCGTTATCATTATCATTATTATTATTATTATTAGTATTGTTATTATTATTATTATTATTATTATTATTATTATTATTATTATTATTATTATTATTATTATTTTGCTTTCCACTTGGTATCATTAGTAGAACTATGTGTTATTGATAGAATGAAAATCCTTGAAAGATCGTTTAGATTTAAACAGATTAAAGCAATAACAGAACGATGACTCAAAATATGTAGAATGATTGAAAAGTCAAGCTTCAGAAGAACTCAACTAAGAATTACTACTGTAGAGGCATGATTAGGGTTACAAAATAATATCAGAGTTAACTAAAATATGATGCATCCATGCATCTTAAATACTCTAACCCTAGTAAATAAATATGGGAGGACAGGCGCAACCCATTTACAAAATGGACTAAACACCTAGCCCAATAACACATCAAAAAAATCCCAATAATCTCCACATTTGCGTCAATTGCCGCGACATATCTTTAAGGTTGACTTCGCTTCTGCACTTCGTATACTTTCGGAATTACACTCAGCAGAGTCTTGAGAACTTAAATATACCATAGAATTATGTCTGAGAAGCATTTCAAATCTCCATTGCTGTTGCCCTTGAATTTTGTGACCAGTCTCAGAATAAATTCAAGACAATAAGTAGTGTATAAGTGTTTATCAGGAAGATGGAAACAACCCTTATGAAAAGCTGCATCACTTCGTTCTTTTGCCTGAAAAACCATGTACCATCAGTCTTTGTAAATCTTTCCTAGCTTCAACTTCTCAAACCCTTCAGGGGATTCTTTCGAGAGAACAGAAGGCTTCCTTCGCAACATAGAAGCTATCTCCACAACCATATTCACAATCTCTTGAATGTAAGCAATCGTGTGTTTGAGATGGGCAATAATAGGCTCATACTTTTGTCTGTCTCTCATCAGCATATTGTAAAGCTTATCCAGTCATATAAATTAAGATAAGGTAGATCCGCAAGAATGAATTCGTAGACTTGAATAGCAGATCCTCTCCCAACATTGAACTTTACATTTGGAAAGAAGTCAGTTTCAATCAGACCTGTGACCTTTACTACAGTTATCTTGCATACACTCAATGTTTCAAACCGTAGCTTCATGTGTTTGAAATAGAACGAGAAGAGGAGTTGGTTAGCATTGCTATCAGTGAATGGGACATTTGCAACATTCACAAAGGAGCGAAATTTAAAAGCCTTTGGTTGATTAGAAGATCCAACTGCGAATCTTGTGAATTCTAAATCCCAAAAGACACAACCGATTCTAGCCAATATTGACTTGGTAATTCAACTGCTTCTTTTTGGATTCGCTTCAACATCCACTTAGGAAATAAAAGCTTCCAACTTTCGAGTGCGACCTGAGCATCTTTTTCAGCTTTCTCTTTCTCTTAAGCTTCTCGAACTATTCTCTGGTGCGCGTCCAACTCAGCTTCACGAGACTTCTTCTTTTTAAGGTCGTTTTTAGCAAACTCTTCATCCTCAATGTTTTCTACAATAGGATCATCACTAAATAGTTTTTCCTTATCCTTAGGCTCAGGTTTACTTTTAACAGTACGCGTTGCTGAAAGTTTAGGATCAGCCTGCTTGGTTTGTTACTTCTTGGATTGAAACTGACCTTCTCCCCCTTGTTTCGGAATTAAAGCAATCTTCGCAACACCCTCAATCCTACTAAGCATAGAAATAGTAGGACGAAATCGATCAGCAAGATGTCTATGAATTGAGATAGTGAGGATTGGATCATGTGAATCAAGAATTTTGGAGAGTAAAGCATTCATATCCCCAACACAAGTCTTGACCACATCACGCTTAGATTTAAGTTCGATGATATCTTTATTGGCTTGAGCAAATTTGTCTTGAGTGAACTTGACTGTAGTTGTGTGAGCAATGAGTTGATCCATGAGATTATTTTCGGTTACAGGAGACTCCTTTAGAGACTCCTTCTTCTTATGCAAAACAATGTTGAGACGTTCTATCGCCTCATTCGCCTTTGATGTGTTTGTCTCTGTAAACGTTTGAAAGTTAGTATGGGGTTCGCATGCGAGTGAATTTTCGCATTTTGATTGAAAGGTTTTTCAATGTGAACATTGTTGGGATTTTGGGATTGCTAAAACTTCTTCCTTTCATTGAGATTTCATTGATATCTCACATTCCTTTGCCGATTTTGAGCTGTAAGTTGCTCTTAGGATTTGTGGATATTTCGTTTGAGTTTCATCTTTCGTACAAGAGATTTGTCCTTCACTGATTGAGGTTCACTTTGAATATCCTTGGTTCGACTTGGAATTCCTTTCTCAAAGCCTGAGCGATTGTTTGGTGGTTCCGCCACATATCATCCTTTCACTTTCCAAGAGGTCTTTTCTGACAGACCTGTGGTTTCGCCTGCATTATCTATTGGGGGCAGACCAGAAGTACTCATCACATCCATCTTTGTTGTTGTCATCTACGAGGGATGTTAATTCCATTTTTTGGATTTTATTGAATCCTTTAATCGCAAAGACTTAGTTGGGGACAATTTGTACTTTAGGAACAAAATGTTGCTTTAGCTTTTAAAATTTCAGGTTTATCTTGAGAAATACGTGCGAACTCAACAAAATTTTCACAAATCAAAGTTTTTGCAGATTCAATTCCATTTTTCACAAATTCTGAGCAATCAACCCCATCCTTTACATATATTTCCCTCATATCACGGTCCTCATCAAATTCAGATGTAGTTTCAACATTAATTTTGTTTTCTAAACTTAATTTGGCACCAAATGAATCGAACTTCTACATAGTATCAGATTTTATTTCCTTCTAATCATTTTCATCCGAAAGTTGTTTTAACATATTCTTATGGTCATTGGACTTAATGTTGATGGGTTTTAGGTAAAACAAATAAACTAGAAAACAATTCCTAAGTTCACATGCAACCTACTTTGGATCTATGTTTTAACTATTGAACATATAACTTTGAATTGCAAAATAAGAACCCTAGAGTAGAGAGGCTATTTTCAAAAATAACAAACTAGGGTTTAGGAGTTACATACCTTTCAATTGTTATAGCAAACAATTGACAATCCTCTTGATCTTGATCTTGATCTTCTTGGAAGCTTAGCACCACAAACATAATGCCTCTAATGGAATCACACCCAAAGAACTAGCAAGAAGGAATCTAGAAGGAGGGAGAGGGAGGGAGTATGCAATTTTCGGCCTAGGGTTTCTTCCAAGGTAGGTGTTGCCGATTTTAGGAGCTAGGAGGCTCTTTATATAGCTGAGGAATCTAGGGTTTAGGGAAAACCCCAATGCTCCTTTGCTTAGGGCCTAAGCAAACCCAAGGGCCTTATCTAAAAGCCCTTGGGGAGAAATCCTTAGGGTTTCCCTAGAGATTTCGTCCACCTTATTCCAAGGAGGTTCTGGAGCCTTCCACTCAACTATCTGATAATTGCAAACTAGTCCCTACACTTTATAATTAATACTTTTAACCCCAAAATTAATTTTTATTAATTTCTAGCTAACTATTAATTAAACATAATAATTCCTAATTAATATATTAATCTTTTAACATATTAATAAATCATTTATATTGATTTATTAATCTTATAATAAATCAATATCCCTCCTTTCATAATTTCCTTGTTCGGTTGCTAGGTTTGAGGGCAACCCAAAAGGACTGTGCTGCTATCAATTCAAGTACATACCAATTATAGTTATGGTCTTAGACACCTAATCCAATGGTCTCCCACTTGGATAAGTCTGTAACTATAATTGCTAGTATGACTTCTAAATTTGACCAGCAAATTGTAGCTTCCAAAAGCTGCTATCGAACTCTGACCCAGTCAGTTATGTGTCCTAAGATAAGTGATCACATGACCATTCGTTCTACTAGATATCCCTAGACATAAGACATGTAATACAATCAATCTCTTTGTCCAGAATCTATGTTTCCCGATTTCTGATTTGTGATGATATAGGACTTCTAATCGAACACATCAATTTAGTCCTGGCTGGGCCCAGCACAAAAGTCAACACCAAATCATTGAGGGGCCCACATATATCACTTTTCCCGTTAGGGCAAAAGGAACGAATAAACATTGACTCATATGATTGTATCTTTTACTCATCAAACCATACATGACAATACGTTTTATAACACCAAGTTACTGATGCGTTTTTGTATCACTAATGTATAGCCGACTTCCAAATTACAACTCATATATCTCTGTTTCAAGATCATAGATATTATCATCTCAGTATTACTCATGATGAACTCCATGAAGTAATACTCTGAGCATGGGTTTATCCAATACTCAAATCTCACTCTCTGAGTACTCATGAACATTGCAATGATTCTATTGCTATGTCTATCCTTAGACAATCTGCAATCCAATTCATGACAGTCTTAATTCACTACTTACTTCCAAAAGTACGAGCGACTGTGGAGTTTGAACAGTCATATTATTTGGGAAGTAAAACACGCAAAATATGAAACACAATAATAAACAATTGACAAAACGCAGTAAACAAACTCATAAATAATACTCTATTATTTAATCACCAAAATTAAATTACATTTACTTTGTAACAAGTTTCTGAACTAGACTAATCTAACCACTAAAACTAATATCATCTTTCATCCCTATGCTTCGAGCATGCTGAATATGCTTAGCCCTACTCAGACCCTTTGTGAGGGGGTCTGCTGGGTTATCTTCAACTGATACCCTCTTTACAACAAGATGGCCTTCTTCTACTCTATTTCTGATGAAATGGTACTTTCTATCGATATGTCTGGTCTTACCATGGTCTCTGGGTTCCTTAGTTAAGGCGACCGCTCCCTCATTATCGCAAAACAATTCCATAGGTTCATGGATGGTTGGAACAACTCCGAGATCCCCGATGAAGTTCCTCAACCAAGGTACTTCTTTAGACGCTTCACTCATTGCTATGTAGTCTGATTCACAAGTAGAATCAACCACCGTATCTTGCTTGGAACTTTTCCAAGTAACTACTCCTCCATTCAGTAGAAATACCCAGCCAGATTGAGAACGGAAGTTATCTCTATCTGTTTGAAAGTTGGCATCACCGTAACCATCTACTCTCAAAGTATCATTGCCACCAAGTACAAGGACCCAGTCCTTCGTTCTTCGCAAATACTTGAGTATATTCTTTACTGCTATCCAATGAGCTGTACCTGCGTTTCCCTGATAGCGACTGACCATGCTCAAAGCAAAGGCCACATCAGGGCAAGTACATGTCATAGCGTACATGATCAATCCGACAGCGGAAGCATAAGGTACACGACTCATGTCAGCTATTTCCTCATCTGTACTAGGGCATTGAGTCTTACTCAATTTTGTGTTGCTCTGGATAAGTAGCTCTACCTTCTTGGAATTTTCCATACTAAACCTCTTTAGAACCTTATCAAAGTATGTGCTATGACTAATTCCAATAACCCTCTTCTTTCTATCTCTCAATATCCTAATCCCAAGAATATAGGCGGCTTCTCCTAGGTCTTTCATGGCAAAACACTTTCCAAGCTAAGACTTAACTTTGTTCAAGGTTGGAATGTTGTTACCAATGAGTAATATGTCATCGACATATAACACCAAAAAAGTTATTATACTCCCACTAGCCTTGATATACACACAACACTCATCTTCACTTCTAGAGAAACCAAACTCTTTGACTTTCTCATGGAAGCAAAGATTCCAGCTGTGAGATGCTTGTTTCAATCCATAAATGAATTTCTCAAGCTTACACACTCTATTGGGAAACTTGGCATCGACAAAACTCTCTGGCTGATTCATGTAAACACCTCAGCCAACTTCCCGTTAAGGAAAACAATGTTGACATCCATCTGCCAGATTTCATAGTCTTGAAATGCAGCTATGGTGAGCAGTATCCTGATAGATTTAATCTTGGTTACCAATGAGAAAGTTTCATCATAGTCAACCCTTGGGGTTTGTGTGAAACCTTTCGTAACCAGTCTTGCATTGAATGTGTGTACATTCACATCCATGTCTGTATTCTTCTTGAAGATCCATTTACAACCAACTATCTTACGACCTGGTGCATTATCAACCAAATTCCAAACTTGGTTGTCATGCATGGACTTTATCTCGCTGTCCATTGCCTTTTTCCACTTGGAATCCTCTGGGCCTGCCATTGCTTCCTTATAAGACACTGGTTCATCTAAATTTACCAGTGTCCTATCACTGATGAATGTGTCACCATCAGAAGTAATATGAAAACCATACAACTTAGGTGGCACACTCACCCTAGTGGATCTTTAAAGTGGTAATGATTTATCAACTGGTTCAACAGGAACTGTTTCCTCTTGTTAAGTGCTAGTGTCATCTAAGGTTCCTTCATTAGTTGACTCTTGAATCTCTTCAAGGTCAATGGTACTCTCACTATCCTCTTTGAATATGAGCTCTCTTTCTAGAAAGACTCCTCTTCGAGCTACAAACACCACGTTCTCACTAAGTCTGTAGAACAAATATACAAAAGACTGTTTTGGCTAACCAATGAAAACAAATTTCTCACTTCGTGCTGCTAGCTTGTCGTGAGTGTCTCGTCTTATGAAAGCTTCACAACCCCAGACTTTAATATGTGCTAACAAGGGAAATTTCCCTGTCCACATTTCGTGAGGTGTTTTGGCAACCTTCTTTGTTGGGACAAGATTTAGGATGTGGGCTGTGACAACTCGTAATTTATTCCGTCACTATAACCCGTTCCCGTTAAAAAACCGTTAGTATTTCTGATTCTTCCGTTGACTTTTGGATTAGGTCATTTTAATTAAGAATTTTATTATGATCTAGTGAGTGTCCAAACACAGTGAAAACACATGAAAACATCCCAAATTGTTATTTGGAAATATTTCAAGTTTCGACCACATCGGGATACAAAAACTTTATCGGGTACGACCAAAAGCCCCGTTTAACGTCAGTATCGGGTAGAATTCCACCGAGCCCCAAACTTGAATCATATTTAAAGTTGAGTGGGTTTCATTTGAAGCTTTTACACACTCTCTCTCTACTCTCTTTCTAAAAACTCAAAGTTTGATCCAAAATCACCTCTTTCAAGCCCCAAATTGGTATGTAATCCTTCCTAGCTCATAGTATAACACATTTAGGTTTCAAATTCGTGTTTATTTCATGAAATAGGACCAATAAGATGTGTTTACAGCCCAGGAACAACCCTAGGCCTCAAACACACATAAATAGGGTTTTTGAGCCTTAAAACCCTTCCAAACCACTTTTGGAGCTTAGATATGACTTAGGGGCTTACAATACTGGACTTAGAACACCAAAACCTTATCATTTGAAGAGTAAACATGAGTTTATGGCCGAAGAACATGCTTGGACCGTAAACACCATTTCATAGGCCGTGAACACCTTTTAAGGTGTTAAAATTCCCCTTAAACACTTTCTAATCCCTTGAATAAAG